AAAAAAAGGAAAACTTAAAACAAAATACCAACACATCCGTTTTAAAACAGGTGTTAAAATATCACACAATTAAAAAATAGTTGTGAAATTAATATCAAAAAACTAAAACACAATTCTGGAAAAAAAAAGTGGTTTATAAATGGATTTTTGTTCAATTCAATTCAATTCTTTATTCACTCAGAACCAGATCACTGGTACAAGAAGTACATATATACATATATACAAACAACAAATACAGTCAAGGGTCAAGAAATAGACAAGTACATGCACATAAAGAAAAAGAAAAGAGCGAGAAAAACATCTAGTCAGTTATATATAGAAAACATAAAACAATTTTAAAATTTTTCTCGATAAATTTTTGATTTTTGTAATTTTGTAAAATATTATTGTAGTGTTATTTGTAGCTCATTTTTTAAGCACCATAAAATAAAAAAAATTAAGACTCTAATTTGTTAGGGAAATCATAGTCATCTGAGGTTAGAAATGTTTGGCTTGACAATTTCACAGTTTATTCTCAGTGATTTGTGTATCATTTTGTTCAGGATGTTGAGACAAGACTATTAACGTACAAATGCAGTATTACACCTCACTTTAATATGACCCTTTTATTTTTTCTCCTTATATTTCAGTTTAGAAAAAAACGACATTTTGTAAAATCACTGGTGTGACAACAATTCAATAATCTGATCAGCATCGATATGTTAAAAATATTTCAATTTAAGTGCGACATGAAAATTTAAGTAACATGCATACTCACTTTGAATTACAAAGTCAGCACTGATCTTCGGTCCGTGTAACACTTAACAATTCAAATTTCTAGAAATGATTTTGAGTTTTAAAATGTATATATAACAGTTCAAATATTTAAATTTCAAAAACTCTAACTGGTTTGGTATATTGAAATTTAACCTTTTAGTTCAAAAACCTAAATTTTCAAATTTCTAAATAAACAGGTTTTACAATTAATTTTAACATTTTAGATTTTTACCTTAAATGTTCAAAATTCAAATTTCCCAAAAAGATGTTTGTATTTTAAAACTTTTTTATCCCACCGGGCCATCTTGAATTTTACAACTGATGAACTTAAATCTAAATATCTAATGAGCTTTTTCAAAAAATAAAATTACTACACATTGTCTGGATTAAATAATATAAAAAATATGAAATCGGACAAAAAGTGACCATTTGCTTCACTTTTGGCATAGATCTGTACATGTATATGTGAATTTGCAGTCTTGATTGGGGAAAAATGCATCTCATGTATAGTGCTCTACATAATAGTAGCAGCAGATTATTGAAAAAAAAACATTTTGTTTTTTAAATTAGCTCCTATATAAGGCATTTTTTTCAAATTTTGGGGGGCCGTAAAAACCGTTTGGTTATTTCAAAGTTGGTTTTTGTGGCGGACTTCTGGGTTTGGGAGGGCAGGCCCGGATGTTGGGGAGGGGGCACACGCTTTGTTTAACTCCCCGGGGGGAGGCCAGCTCAGATGACGGGGGATGATTCTGGGTCTTTTTGTTGTCGCGGGCGGCGTTGCCTGCCAGCTCCAAGACTTCGGCGGCCAATATTTTCAAGAACGGCGGCCAGATACACAGGTGCTGGTCTCCCACTCTCTCGGCGTAGTTGCCCTTCCTCAACAGACGGTGGATACGACCCACGGGAAACTGCAGTCGTCCGCCGTTATCCGTCCGTGCGATATAAAAGCAGCGAAGCGCGAATCGACACTCATAGTTTTCAGTTTGTACACGTTCTGTCAACATGCCACCCAAAGTGGGATCTAAAGGAGCTAAGAAAGCAGCCACCAAGGCCAAGGCCCAGAGAACTGGGGACAAGAAAAAGCGCAGGAAGAGGAGGGAATCCTACGCCATCTACATCTACAAGGTGTTGAAACAGGTCCACCCAGACACTGGTGTTTCCAGCAAGGCCATGAGCATCATGAACTCTTTTGTCAATGACATCTTTGAGAGAATCGCTGCCGAGGCCTCCCGTCTCGCTCACTACAACAAGCGATCAACCATCACCAGCAGAGAGATCCAGACCGCTGTCCGTCTCCTCCTGCCCGGTGAATTGGCCAAACACGCCGTCTCTGAGGGAACCAAGGCTGTCACCAAGTACACCAGCAGCAAGTAAACTGCAAACTTGTAGTTCATCAAAACAAAACGGCCCTTTTCAGGGCCACCCAAATTTTTCGAAAAGATATCTGCATTACGGTCTTGAGAAACGAATGTGTATATAAGGTGTTTATGGGTTGTATTTACCTTGTTCAATTATTTATTTATTTCTAGGTAGCATTAGATTTAAATTGTTGCCTTTGTTTACGATAACAATTAAGAATTATTAATGTTTTGTAAAACCTAAAAACTCACTTAGACACATATGGACACATTTTCAGAAGAATACTTGAATATTTAATGCCCTTCATTTATGTACATTAAATATTTACAGACGATGAATAAATGAAAACAAACAAAAAAAAAATCAAGGGCCCCACAGAAAAATTGAAAGATTATCACTTAAAAAAAAAACTGCCTAGGGCCAGTACACACGTAATCTGGATCTGGTTTAAAAGTATTTATTAAAATGTGATATTTAACAAGAAATTTTCTGAGCATGAAAACAAAATGGTAATCAACCAACTATCAATGAAAATAGATAAGTTCACAGGCTGTTACTCTAAAGATTTTTTGGGGAGATAATTATTGATTTTTTTTTTTAGTTCTCTAAGTACCATGAATCATAATTTATAAAAATTTTGAGTTGTTGATTGAAAAAGGGGGGGTTTTTGAATACACTGTGTATGAAAAAATTTTAAAAGTAATATACATTTTAAATGAACTCTTAAATTTTATACAGAATCATATATGAGGAAAATAATAATTAAAAACTTTTTTTTAAAAAAAAAAAAAAATGTTTTTAGTCGTTTAAAAGGATCAAAGATTTTTGAAATAAAAAGTTTTAATTTCCCTTTCAATACAGTCTTATGTGTGCTGGCAAAAGTAACCCCTTCAACAATAAAAAAAACAAAATAAAAACAACGTTACCCATTACAGGTTATCTTCACGGACATAAAAGCTGAGAGCATGAAAAAAAGGTTTATTTATTGATAAATTGTTTTTCATGGGGGAAAAAATTTAGAAAGAAAAAAGAAATGCATTGCATGTTAAAATTATTAGATACATTCATTATTTTACGGGAAAAAATAAAAGATAGGGGAAGAATTTTTTATGTTAGAAATAAATAAATATATGAATCCTAAACTAGTGTTTAAGTTAGCCTATAAAAATGTCACCCGCTTAACTTTTGTTTTTTTATGGGTGCATGTGATTTTTTTTGTTTCCCACATGGATGGGGAAAGATTCATCACATAAAAATTTTTTTAAATTTTTTTTTTGTTTCTTTTAAAAAATAACCATGTCATTGTTTTTCCATGTGTTGGATTTGGATGAAAAAAAGAAAAAATTAAAAAAAAAAGGGGAAAAGAAAAATTTCAAAAAGAAAAAAAAAAGGAAAAAAAACTTTTTTTGATTTAAAAATTTATAAATTTTATTTTTTTTTTTTTTTTTAAAAATTTGGATCAAAAAGTATTACAAAGTGTAACGATAGCTAACCCCACATGTCTTTTAATTTGCCGTGTGTATTTGATGTGTCTTTGGAGATTATCAATTGGATTTTAAAATTGGGGGGGGCTCTAACCGGGGTTTTTAAATAGAAATAACATTGGCATAAAATGTTAATAAATTATAATGGTTTAAAGAACATAAAACAATAACTACTGTTTTTTTTTCCCCCCCCGTGAACAAGTACGCAGGAATAGAAACCCAATATTTAGCCTAATTCCATAACATGGGGTTTTTCTTGACAATTAATAATTTTAATAAAATAATGCCCAGCCATAAAAAACCCCGTTTCCAAAGTCTGTTTAAGGATCTTTTAAAATTTGGGTGGCCGTGAAAACGGCCGTTTGTTGTTCTTTTTCCTTCATAGGGGTATTTTCCACCCCGGGGGGGTTGTTTTTTTTCAGGGGAAAAGTTTTCCCATCTTCCTCTTGGGTGCTCTTTTGGGGACAGCATCACGAATGACATTCTCAAGGAAAACTTTCAGGACCCCAGGGTTTTTTCGTAGATGAGTCCCGAGAACGTTTGATCCACCTCTGCAAACACGGGTGGGGGGTTTGGAAACCCTGGGGTTTTTCTCAGGACCTTCCGGGCTTAGCGCCCCCCCTTTTCCCAAAACCTTTTCTCCTTTTTCCCCGTCCAGAAAAGTTCAGCTCTCAGTAGATAATCTTTGAAAAGCTCTACACGACAGAATCACGGTATATATAGCAGTCATGAGGCTAGAAATACAAGTCTTCGGAAATCCCCAAAAACACTTGAAAGCCACAGCGGATTGGTTTACGCTCGGCGCCTTAATTTTTTTTAGTTTTTTTTTACCCTTGACTGCCACCAAACCCCCGTACATTTTTAAAAATAATTTCAGCCTTTCCATAACTATTGTTCAATATTTAGAATATAGTAATTTTATATTTCGATTTTTTCCCAAAAAATAATTATTACTTTTTCTTTGTTGGTGGTTTCTTTTTTTCTTTCTTTTATCAGAGTATTACATTATAACAAAAAATCAGAATTTAATATGAAAACACGATATAAAAATTTAAAAAGTGTATCATTAAAAAAAAAAAAAAAAAAAAAAAAAAAAAAAAGGAAAAAAGGAATGAAATAAAATTTTAATAGGTTGTCAAAACCCAAATTTTTTTTTGTTCTTTTTTCTCTCTCACCCCATTTTTTATTTTGTAATGATTGAGGGGAAAAAAAAAAAACAAAGTATCAGGATTAAATCACAATATTCTTTAAAAGGAGTTCAATAAACTAACTTTGTCATATTATTTTCAAATTTTTCTTTAAAACACATTCATGTTTTATTGTTTGTATCTTTCTTTTTCCGAAAAAGAAATGTATTCATTTTTCTCATAATTGACTAATAAATACAATTGTCTTTGTACTAAATACACAAGAGACTGTTTTTTCCCTTCTTTTCCCCTTCTTTTGATGAATCAATGTTATCAATCCCTTTGTTTTATTTCCCACCCCGTTGAATTTTAATTTTTTTTTTTTTTTTTGGGGGTTTAACACCCCTTGTTCATTAAAATAATACGACTCAAACTGCCGTAATGTTATTCCGGACTTTCCTAAATACAAAAAATTTTTATTCAATATTTCCCCATAATCCCCAATTTTAGAGGTTAATGTGAAACCGATAGATTTCCCCCTGTTTTATATATTGTTACGTTTGGATTGCAGAAAAAATTTTTTTTGGGTGGCCGTAAAAACCTTTTTTTGGTTTGTCTGAGACAAGGAAAAGCTTAGGTCTCCCCCCGGATACTTGGAAGCGGGATACCCTTTTGGAAGGTCATTTTTGGCATGGATAGCACACAATTGTACCCCAAAAGTCCCGACAGGTGGGCCCTGCTGGCTTCCTGGAGGGCCATACGGCGAGCTCTGGAAAGCAATGGTCTTTTTTGGAGCTTTTCACAAAGGCGGGAATTTTCCGAGGAAATTCGGGCTTTTGGTATCCCATCTCAGGAGAGCAACAGTTCCTGGCCTTTTTGGAGGTTTTTTAACGCCACCGGTGGCTGGGCGCTCTTACGGGGGCCTTGGACCAGCCGTTTTCGGGGGCCTTTTTCCCCCTGTAATTTTCTTGCAGTTGCTTGGACGCCCCCTTTTGAATTCAGATAAAATAATGACAAGGCAGTGTAGATAGTTTTTAGGTTTGTTAAATTTTTTTATTTTAAAATTTAAACACGGACGAAGTAAGGGGGTTTTGATTTGGGTTGGGATCGAAAACACCTTGGATTTGCCGTTTAGCGCGCTTGATTGGTCTTAGCTGAAATCATTTCACCACCCTTTTTTAAAAATTTGTACTTGGAAAAAACAATGTTTTGCGTTTTAAAAAATTTAAAAACCCACTGGCTAAAAAAAAAAATAAATCACAATAAATTTGGACAAATTAAACGTGATGAAGACATCACATTTACAAAAAATTTTTTAAATTTTATTTTAATTGTTATTAATTTTTAACATTACATTAAATTTTCCTTTTTATTTCTTTTAAAATCTTTAAGGCCCCCAAGGGAAAAGGAAAATTTACCTTGTTCATTGGGGCCATGTAAATAAAAAATATTGAAAAATGAAAAAAACAAATTTTTTTTCATTACCTTAAATTTTTAATCTTATATTTTTTTATTTTTTTGTGTTTTTTCAAAAGCATTTTTTAATTTTCTTAAGATTTAAGGTTTTTTAAAAAGTAAATTTTGGTCCAAGACCCATCTGATTTTTTGTAGAAATAATTAATATTGAATTTGTTCTTACCATTAAATTGTTAAACCCTTTTAAAAGGGGTTACTCTCAAAATTTTTAACC